AACCATTCCGCAACCACCACCTTCTACCCCTACGATCGCCGCTGATTCCACTGCTCCATTACCAGCTAGCACCGTCGAACCCAAAAAGGAAACCGAACCTCAAAACGACATCACTGACACCAAACAAGAAATGGCCAACTGGCCGCAGCTTCCTCTGATTCTCTATCCGAAGAAGATCCGACCACCACAACCACCACCGCGTCCGACGACAACCAAAACCCACTTAAAGTTCCCCAAAATGACGACGAATTCGACGAGGACGAGAAGAGCCTCCGCCCAAGAAGCAAAAGCAACTCTCCTCCTTAACAACCCCTTCCCAGGGCCCTAATTCAGTCCCCAGAATCAACGATGATAACCACACCGCAGCCGCAGTTGAAGACAGTAACAATAACGGCAATGCCCCTTTAAATCCTTCCTCAGCAGCGAAAACAACGACGACAACAAAGAAGTCTAAGAAGAAAAACAATAATGTTTGGGTGACGAAAACTTCGCGAAAAGGGAAAAAGAAAAGCAAAGTGAATAACCAGAATGCTGGGAATGCGGAAGACACGGTTTTGATTACCCCTGTTCCGAGATTCCCGGACAAAGGGGATGATACCCCAGAGTTGAGCATATGTCTTTCCAAGGTTTATAAAGCGGAAAAAGTGGAGTTAAGCGAGGATAGGATGAGTGCAGGGAGCACAAAGGGGTACAGAATGGTTAGAGCCACAAGAGGGGTGGAGGAAGGAGCTTGGTACTTTGAAATTAAGGTGGTGAAGTTGGGTGAGTCCGGGCATACACGGCTCGGATGGTCTACGGAGAAAGGAGACTTGCAGGCACCGGTAGGGTATGATGCAATAGCTTTGGATATAGAGATATTGATGGGAGTAAGGTGCATAAGGCTTTGAGAGAGAAGTATGGGAGGAAGGGTATAAGGAGGGGATGTTATTGGGTTTTATATAAATTTACCGGAAGGTGGGTCCTTTGCTCCCAAGCCGCCCCATTTAGTCTGGTATAAAGGACAGAGGTATGTGTGCGCCCCTGATGTCAAGGAGGAGCCGCCTAAAGTGGTGCCTGGTAAGTTTCTCATAGTATTCTATTAAAGCTTGTTCATTGATTATTTTATTTGAATGGATTGCATATGTTTGCTAGTTTTATGTTTATTGTTCTTATTCATTTTACTATGTCTCGTACTGTTTTTATGTATGCTCAGATTTTATATTACCTTAAAAGGGAAAGCAGCATTGTACTAAGAGAAAAGAAAGTGATGAGTGATGACTGGGTTGTGAGTCACTGATTTAGTTGGTGATATATAATAAAAAACCAAAAAAAAAAAAACAAACACACTTCAAATTTTTGTATGCTACTTTTGAATTTTGATTTTTAAAAGAGTTCATGGAACAAAATTGATTGTGAACCTCTTATTCCTTTGCGCATCTATGGCTTGTTTTTTTGTTGATATTGTCTTCATGATTTTGAATTTACTTTCCATTTCAATTTTCATTCAAGCTAGCACTTTTTGGTTGCCTTAAAATTGTATAAACTCCAGAATAGCAATCTGATTAATGGCAAGTTGAGTGTTTTAAAGATTTGAGATATATCTTTTAATCAATTTTAGAAATTAGTTTAAGCACTTTCAAATATTATTATGTGTTTGTGACCTAGGACTGTTGTAAAAGTGCTTTTTCAAGGCTTTAACGGTACCTAAATTGATGGATAAAAGGTAGGAAATATTTCCTGTCCTGAGTTTCTACTAGCATAGATGCCAATTTTTGCATTCTTGGTTGGTTTTAATTAAATGAAGGAGCATTGAACAGACAGCGTGAACAATAACTGTATTTTTCTGGGGGGAATTGGATTCTTACTTGGATATAGATTTGGTTGGGCTTTACAAATCACTGTTATTGGGTTTCACGCGTTAGACTTGAAGTTGATTTGATGCATGTATAATTTCTAGTGCATAGCTTGCTAGAAACACCTGAAGATAGTCCTCTGAGTATTTGAACATCTGAAAAGCATTTTGATTTGGTAAATAGAAAATGGTATATCTAGGTTAATAGATAGACATTTATACTTTTCTCGTAAGGATTTATTTGCTGTTTGGTAAATTGTAAATTTAATGCTGAGAAATTAAGTGCTAAATTTTTTATATTGTAAAAATCAATTGATATGTTGCTGAAAAGTAAATGCCGAAAGAGATATATGATTTGAAAATTTGGCCCAAGAAACGAAAGAGTTGTAAGAAGAGATGGAGTAAAACAATTTAAACAATTTATAAAGGTAATGTAGTCAATACAAGTTTGAAAACAAACTTGATTGAATAGATTTAATAGGTTTCTTAATATTTGCGATAATTCTTCTGCTGAAATCATTTTCTTAAATGATTCTGAAAACAAGTAATAAAACATCTTGGACAAATTAAATCATTTGAAAATTGAAATTCTCAACTATCTGAAATTTTAATCATTATCAAACGACATTGTATACTCCAAAAGTAGATTTAGCTGATAACAGCATCTAGTTAATTTGAATTAACCAGAAATTAATCAAATTCCATACAGGATTTGGTAGGAAGGGAGGAAAATGAAGGGAAGGGACAAAGGTGAGAGAAGGAGAAGGGAAGGAAAGGAAGGGAGTTTGTTTTTCCCTTCTAAGACTATTTCCATATTTCAAGTTCATTCCAAACAGAACAAAACCTAACACTCAACTGGATTCAATAGCAAATTAACAAACACTTGGTGTGCAAGTGGACAAGTAGTAAACTCAGGCCCCATGGATTGCAGGAGCTATGCCCAAACTCAGCAGGCAAGCAACTATACACTGACAAAGCACCAAAAAATAATTAGATAAAGTTAACAAGAAGCAGGTAGTAAGGGGCCTTATTTATTCAATATTTATCGGACAAATATCTAAGTACTGAAACAAGGGCTTTGCCAAAATAATGTATTGAAACATGAAGGGAGTGGAGACACATATAAATGACAGGTTTTTCAAATAAGCTCAAACTTATTCTAACTTTAAAGAAGGATGACATATCCTGGAAGAACCCTTTCTCTAAATCCCAAATTTCTAATACTCTATTACAATAAAAGAAATTTCATATGTCTATGATTTCTCTCCATTTTATAACAGGAGAAGAGATGGGAGATGAAGACTTAGATGTCATAACAATGGATTTAGTTTTCTTCAAGATTGCTTGAATGGAGATCATCTTCATCGTCTTATTCTCTCAAACCCTAACCTTTCCTGGTTTTATTGTTTTTTTTATTTGGTTAGCCATTTATCATTAACGGAGTTTCTTGATTTCCCTCTCTTTGGATTAGTCAATTCTTGATGTGGTGGATGGGCCTACTGGTGATGTGGTAGGAAGGTTTATGTAATAATTTCGTCATATGGAGGATTTGTGCAATTAAATTTTATAGCTTGTATTTATATCATTCTGTTAACACTTTGCACTATCCTACCCTAACTTAAATCATGTGGAAGATTTGAAAAAAAGAATGTCTGATCATCACATAATTGAAATTTGTTGCATGATTTTGGCTAATGATTTGGATTCTATCTTCTGTGTGGTAAGATTGCACAGGGTGCTAGGTTCTCTGCTTTTGTCCTCTTTTCTACGGTATGGCATGCAATAATTGGTAAACTTATAACCCATTAGTATAAAGTCTAACTTGTAGCTACTTGAACCTATCTAATTGGTTGTGTTATGTTTTGCCTGTTCAACTGGTCACTGCAATATTTCCAAGTGAACTCCTTATAGAGCAATTTCTCAAGAATTGAATTATTTGTTCAAACCTGGTATTTTAGTTAAAGTCTGACAAGTTGTGACTATATTGTATAGTTTTTGACTTGCATAACCTGTTTGGACAGGCCATTAAGAAACTCTTTATATTTGCAATGAATTCAGCTCTTGTGCTTGTAGTGAAACAGATGCATTGTTTTGACTAACTTGCCCTTGAAATGACTGTTTATTCTATGTTTCATGAGGACTTGTTGAGACTATAAATTACAATTTGCGGAAAATGCTGCTTTTTATGTGGTATGCTTTAAGTGTCATTATTTACGGTCGACCAAATGTTGATTTTTCATGCAGGAAGTGAAATTTCTTTTTTCAAAAATGGGGTTTGCCAAGGAGTTGCTTTCAAGGATCTGTATGGTGGTCGTTACTATCCTGCTGCTTCAATGTATACTCTTCCCAATCAACCAAACTGTGTGGTGAAGTTCAACTTTGGCCCTGACTTTGAATGCTTCCCAGAGGACTTTGGTGGATGTCCAATTCCCAGGCCCATGGTTGATGTTCCTTATCATGGGTTTGACAACCGAGTGGAAAATGGTGAATCCATTGAGAAGAAACAGTAGCCAGTTTGCACCATCAATTAACATCATTATGAATTGCCTGCTAATTTGAGAGACTGTCATTATATTGTAATTTAATTAATTACTCTTGAAATTAGGGCTGATAAGTTGATTCATTAGTTCTGTAAACTTTGACTTTTCTGTGAAGGAGAAAAAGAAAGATTCCTGCTTGCAACTTCTAAATCTGCTGCATGAGCTGATCCATATATTGGTATCATTTTTATTTCTAATTTTGTCTGGGTTGTATATCTTGATATGATTTTTTAATAGAGCGCAATAAAGTTTTTGGCTTCTGTGCTTATAACCTCCTTTTTCTTATGTTGAGTACTTTTAATTTGATTCAGTTCCTTTGCGCTAATAGCATAGGTGTCTTTGTGGAATTCTTCATCCAGACAGGATTCCTGCAAAAAATTTTCAGAAACTATGGCTTATAGATGCCTCTGAAAGTATTCCTTTGTCTTGCAGTCTGGTAACTATTGTTTCTCTATCTCACTGTTATATTAATACTTGCACCTTTTCTGGTTAAGCCAGATTGCTTGCAGCAGAATGCAATTATACAGATCTTGACAATCAAAAAGGTAGCAATTCTTTAGCTTCCGAAGTGGACTCTTCCTCCCAAAACGTTTGACTCTAATTTTTTGCTTTTGCTTTTTAATAGTTTTTTTTTTGTTTTTTGTTTTTTGCAGTTGCTGGTAGGATGGAAGGAATTCCTGGCAATTGCAATTATTGAAACTGTGGCTTGATTGGTAATTTTTGATTTGCAATTGAATAGCTTCTTAAAAAAGTGGTAAGATGTTCCTGAGGCAGCAGAGCTATGAATTCTGAATCAAGGAATTTGATCAGGTTGGCCTTATTGCCTTTTAGAAGAAATTCTGTAATAAGCTACTTTTTCTCATCTCCTGAATTTCAACTCTATCGGTTATAGAACTTTAAACAGGATGCGATTTTATAGCTAAACTGTATTTCAAATCTTTTTGCGCCAAATACTATTTTCTCAATAATTAAGGGATTGTTTGCTAATTTTGCTAGCTTCTTATTTTTGTTTCCAAATATACCAAGCAGTTTTTGGTAGTGAAGCTAGTTACATATTATTCAAAATTGAAATGGTGGTTACAGTTGATTTTGTGGGCCTGAGTCACCTTGCTCTTGTAAAATTACTGGTCATGTTGGAATAAACAGAAAAAGGTGGAACCAAGAAAGTCAAGGACTTGCTGTTTGAATCAGCCCGTAATCTTCCTTCTGAGTCACTCATTCTTTGTACCTTTTAAATCATTGTTAGTTTAAAGAGTCATGTTTAGCGCAACTGTTAGAGCAAGAGATTAAATGCTATCATGGCAGAATTGTGGTAGCTCAAATTCATATCTTTATATTGATTCTGTATATTCAATTTAAAGTTACATATCTGGTTTCTTTGTTTTCTTGTTTTTATATTCTGATTTATGTCAGGGATGTATTTCTTTTTTTTGATAGATAACCATTAGCTTAGACTATAGAATGAGAGGTGACTATCTTCCATCCCATAAATTTCAAAACCTCCTTCCTGACATGCAAATTTGAGACCTTAATGTTGAAAGTCTCAAATTCTAACCTTTAGAGTGTCATATTGGGGACTTCAACAAGGATATTTAGGCTTATGTACGTTCGGTCAGATAGGAGCTTATAGATGTACAGGCTCCTCTGTTATTTTGATGAATGTTTGGGCATCTATGCTTAATGGTGTAAAATAGTCTCTGAGTTAGAAAAGTATTATAATAACCTCATCTTTTATTATTATTTCCCTAGGTTACCATATTATTTTAATCTTTGTTTCTTGAAAAAGATTCAATAATTTTGCTTTAAACTCTTGCTTCAACTAGTGAAATGGAAGAAATATATGTCTGATTCCATCTCTTCACTTTTTGATGATTCTTATCACTGTTGTAAATTTTTATGTGGAGCCAGAGTACAAATGATGGCTATATATTTTTTTGTAAATCCAACTGTAATTTATGAAAATCTGAAGGGTTACATAGAAGTGTTAACTGCATTCAATGTGCCTTCTCTGTCGTGGTTTTTCTGGATTAGATAGCAGAACATGGTCTTTGGATGGATCAGCTAATTTGTAGGTACAAAAAATCAAATCAAGGTGAAAATGACAATGAAAAGAACAAAGCAGCTCCTCTATCTGATGTTTAATGGCTGCGTGTTTGAAGGTGTTGATGTCCCTGTACTCAGAATTGTACTGAGTTAATGACATCTGATTTCATTTCGCCTTCCGAATTTTAGGGACTTAATGTTGTTGTGGTTGAGGGTGGTATTTCTTTTGATTGCTTCCTAGTTATTTGAGAAAAATTATAGTAGAGAGTCTGGAAACATAGAAAACTTGATACTTTGCTTAAGATGCTATGATTTAGTGGATAATTATATTATGTCTTGGTGTAATTCTACTTGTCTTTCTTAGCTGATTGATTAAAGGAAGTGAAGTGAAGAAATTGGCTTGTCTAGCAAATCCTGGAAGTGTAAGTCAAGAAATAGGTTTGTCTAACCAATTGAGGAAGCTTTGTATCAGGAACCTAGGCTCAAAGAAAAACTTTTCTAGCAGAAAAATCACCAAAAGAGGCTTGGAGTTGCTAATACTACTACGAGTTGGGCTTAGGGCCCAGATAACAAGCTCAGGGCCAATCTTTGTCTTTAAACTAATTGCTTATCTTTAATAGAGCAGGCCTGTCGTAAATTTGAGGTGCTGTGATTCTCTGTGCATTACTTGATGAAATATTAGAGTTGTAGGTCAAATTGATTAAATGTAGTGCGCAAGAAAAAATGGATATAACCTGTAAATTGTTCGTGCAAATTGCAAAAGTAGTGACCTCATTGTTCTACATGAGTGTTTGATGAGCTGTAACTGTTTCTCTTTACACTGAAGGCCTGCTCATGGGAATGGCAATCCACTACTTGTAGAACACAATCAGCAAGGAGAAATGATAGAAAATAGTAGAATTGTGGGTGAAGAACAGGCCAAACAAATCCAGTTTATCCATCTTGGGGTAGCACTGGAATTACCAGAACAAAATGCTATTAGATATAATGGTATCATTAGATGTTACAATACTGTGTGACGGAGGCATCTGCAACATTTTTGCACCACTTGTAATTTTCTACTAAGAACAATGAGATCTTTTCTATATATGTTTATTTTATGTGGTTGCTGCAATGTGTTGTTTGCCACAACAGATAAGAAGTTTCTGCTCTCCACTGTCATGGCTAGAGAGTTCCAAAAGGAAAGCATTCTTGGGTGACGGGCGCCTCCTCTCATTAACCCTAGAGCAATTTGCAGACATGAGAAGGGAAAGGAATGCCATTGAAGAAGCACTTAAAAACCAAAGCTGATATAGCTAATTTATTAAGGAATCTTACTATCATTCCTGTCCCTTGTTTCTGTGATCGAATCAGAGTATGAGCATTTCTAGAGTGCTCATGAGCTATTGGTTCTTCTAGTGAATTGGAGAGTTAAGACCCTCTTGAGAAGATAGTGAGTGGAGAACTTGGTGCCTCTTGGATGGGAAGGCTGATGTTTTCCTGAAAGAAGGTCTCTTTTTGAGATGTTGTATAGTTCGTTTGGCATAAAGAGTTCGAAAGAAAGGTGAGGCTCTCTCCTTGAACTTGAGAATGACAAAGAAAAGAAATCTGTAAGCTGTCAGAATCATTACAACTGCTGCTAAATCCCACCACTTTGAATGATCCAGCTGAATGCCAAGCATGGTTGTGAGGACAACATCACCTTTCAGTTTTGGACCACCAGGTATGAATCCATCAAACTCAAGCCCGACCATATCGTTCTTGTATGCTCCCTGCATTCTCCATTTTACAAAAATGTCAATTCAAATTGTTTGAGTGGGACATTGTTGCATTAGGGCAATAAGCACTGCATTTCTCATGCAACTCTTGTCTCCTGTTGCTTTGGATTGCAATGTAAAATTTTTCCGGAAAAAAAGAAAGGCTCATTATGGAATTTAGGAGAAAATTACTTACAACATCCCAACTAATTTTCTGGAACTTTTTGATCTTTAGAGTGGGTGAATAAGCTTTAGCAAGAAATTATTTGTTAAAAATTTTTAACAGGGCTGGATGTATTGTATCAGCAGATTACTTTTCGTCCACAAAATATATCAACTTCGCTCACATTTCATGCCGTAGACATAGTACAAATGAAATTTCATCTACCAGTCTAGTCTTGGCTTGTTCTGTTGAACATATTTTTCTCATATTGTAATTATAAACTGCCTTAATTGTACCTGTCAGTTAATTATCCAGGCTCAGTGAAGTGTTTTTGTGGTTCTGGAAGTAAGAATGTTTATTCTTCCATGTGGGAATCTGCTTTTCCCTCCTCTTTTGTCTGGTTTTAAATTGAATAAAATACCTGACGAGTTTATCCTAAATGCATTTTTCTAAGACTTGTTCAAAACATGCCACTACAATAAAAATTACCTGTAATGCCCATGCACCATAGTTGATATATGAAACAGGGTAACGCCAAAATATCTTAGGAAGATCCGGTAGCAATCGGAAATACCCTGCTGTCATCATCATAACTCCCTGTGTACAAAAATATTACTTATGATTATAATCAGATATGAAATGCTTGGACATAAATACAGGATCTCTTACAAAGTTTCTGAAGTTTACAGTTCTTACTATATAACCAGATCCAATTATGACTCCCATCATGAAGTTGGGAACTAGTGATGCTATCATCATCATGCAGCTTTCCACAGTTGCAATGGAGCTGATAAGATCGAGGGAGACATATGTAAAATGTGAAATTCCTGGATGAAATTTCACCATGTAATAGGTAATTGATGATGTAGCAAGGGACATGAGAGTCAAGAATGGGAATGAAGAGAGGAAATTCGACAGTATATAAACAGCAATCCCATAATGTCCATTGCGCCTTTCTCGATAAAAAACCTATGTTAGAACACCGAAAGCAGAAAGAAAGTTAGTGGAAGCCTAGAAACTATTAGTTTTTCTTTTCCATTAACCCTGATATGAGATTACTTACCTTAAGTTCTTCAATAAAGGATGGGAAGCCTCCTATAGACATGAATGTCATGAAACCTGATACGAAACCGCCACAGGCTCCACGGGCTAAGATTGCATTGTAGTTTGTTCCAATATTGAAAAATATAGTGCCAACACAAATAGATAAGGCCACATAGATTGCTATCCTTAACCAGTAATAGCCCAAATCCCTAGACATGTTTACAAAGGACCTCTGTGTCAATGTTGATAGTTGCTTCAACCATTTTGCTTCACTCCTATGTTTCTTTTCAATCACGTGTCCCTCCTGAAATACAAAATAAGTAAAAGCTAAGGAACTCTTTATGGCATATTCTCTCTTCTTGATATATTTAGCCAGTTGTGAGTAAACCATAGGCTCTGCGAGGAAGAAAACTCAGCTTGTAAACAAGTGAATGAAGTGAGATGGACTTGCACTCTAATTAAACTTGATTTTATCCTGAGGATAAAGGTAGATGCTAAAAGCTACATCTGAGTAGCTGTTTTATGATTAAGTTGAAATGCTTACAATGGTTGAGATTTCTTGAATTCTTGCTCTTGCTTTTGCTGCGTAATCTGAGCTGCTGTATTTCTTAACAAGCAATGCTTTTATCTTTGCTGTTGGTAAGGTTGTGAAAGGATCTAATGTATTTTGAAATTCCTGCAGTCCATAAATGAGAAATATATTTAACTATGACAAAATTGAGATCAGCAGATTGGAGGATAAACTTTGCTGCATAACCTGAGTTCCTATAATTTCACATTGAAATTATTAGAACTATGTATTGTTTTGGAAATCTATTAAATGAAGATTACCCTGCTGCATTTCTATGTTGCATGTTAAATCCAATAGCAAATGCAAGAAACTGAGCGACTGCTAATTGCTATCTCTTTGAAAAATGAAAAATGAAAAGCAAAGAAAATGGTACCACAGGCATACAGATATTATATGAGATCCCTTCAAAGCCTCTGCAACACTGTCAAAATCTGAATTTATGCAACGAAGGAAGTGATCCGAAGGATTTCTCCGACTTGGACATGGAAATCCAGATTCAGCAAAGAACTGTGAAATCAACTTTGTTATTAGAAATGAACAAATTTACTTCCAATTATATTTTATGTGGAGAAAGCACTCTCATCTAGGAACAAGTTTGATGAGATTGTCAAGATATTTTAGAGTTTTCTCGTGTGTGTGTATGTGAAAATATGTACCATTTCATACCTTTGCAGCCACTTTTGCCTCTCCAAAATAAACTTGTTCTCCACCAGAGAGTAAAAACAGGTCATCAAAGAGTGAGAATACTTCACTACTTGGCTGATGGATTGAAGAGATGACAGTTCTGCCATCACGGCCAACATTCCTAAGAGTTTGTATCACAAAAAAGGCTGAGGCACTATCTAGGCCACTTGTAGGTTCATCAAGAAACAATAGATGGGGCCTTGTGAGGATTTCCAGTGCAATGCTTAATCTTTTTTTCTCCCCACCACTTACACCCCGTAGGTGCCAGTTTCCGATAAGTCGATCAGCGCACTCTTGGAGGCCCATTTCCATGATTGTTCCCTCCACAATGTCATCAATCTCTTCTCTGCTCACTGATGGTGAGAGCCTCAAATGAGCAGAGTAAGTTATGGTTTCTCGTACTGTTAGAGTTCCCAACAGTACATCCTCTTGAGTCACATAAGCCTGAATTTTCAGAACACGCAATATCAGTAGTTGGATTCATTGCTATATCGTTCTTCCCACGTTGAATCCCAAAATTCAGTTGGTTCACTTTCTCATATTTTTTATTATTAGCATTTTCATGTCAAGTTAAAATGATATGTTGGGTACTTACAGCACTGCCATAGTCCAGCCTCTTCTTCTTCCCATTAAGAAGAACGTTTCCGGTCATGACAACATTTCCAGAGAGTCTTCCTGCATACATTTCGAAGATTATCTTGATGTCCAACATTACAATGCACATTCCTGCACTTGTGGGCCAATAGTCATCATTTTTCTCACAGAGGGTGCAGGTTTAAATTTATAGCCGCAAATGTTTACCAACAGAGCTTAAAAACAGCTGCTGCTGGTCCAGTAATGAAACTTTGGTACCACAGGGCCTGGATCATATACACGCATTCAGCGTTTTCATCGCTAGGCGTTTAGACTGGGCCCATCGTGATGGACCTGCCATAAATAAATTCATCCAATCTGTTGCTCACATACGAAATCATTTACTGTGTGGGTGGTGAAAAAGTGAGTGAACAGCAACAGATACCATATGCTTTAAATTTAGAGTTTTCAGAGAGATGAAGACAATAACAAATAAAGATTAATACTGGAATTATGATTAGTATGTGGATCACTGCTAAATTCATGTCTTCAGTGATTGGGTAGATGAATCTATCGAGCATTGGAATGGGATGGGGGTTGGTGTTTTCTTTTTGATACTGACACACTACATGTTGTAGTGGCCCAGGCATTGTTTCCAGCTGCGGCGCCTTGAGTCAATTCTTTTTACGGCTCAGTAAATAATTCTGGGTTGGCCAAATTTATTGCTGCAGTTGAAGCAAGAATTGAAGTGGTAGCTGGGATTGACAGTAATAGCCGTTTCAATGGCTTACCTTTGGGTAGTTAGACCTCTTTTAATTAAAATAGTACCAACTCAATCAGACCAGCAGAAGTAGAATCCGTAAAAAGGAGAGCAGCTGTACAAGTAGAATTTTGGTTTAAATTTTGATCAGGTATATTGAAAATTACATGCTCCTAGCCAGCCTGGTAGATAGAGAAGGAATTAGTGTGTTGTGATAAAAGATTATTAAAAGCTCAGAAAATGTTATCGTTAGTGGAGCATTTAACTGATTACGTGAGGTTCAGAGCTATTTCCAAAAAAGGCATTAAAAGAAAATGCGTATAGAGTCGAAAATGTGTATTCAGAAACTTGAGCCGCAAAAGTGCAGGGATTGAATCCGCCCATGGTTAATTCAACCAAAGGACACGAATTACAATTACCGTAATAAATACCAGGTTCCCTATTGGTCTGGTTTTAATTGATTTCACCCTAATTTCCATATTTAGATGCAAGTTCTTACCACTGATCTTATGGAAAGCGGTAAAGAACCCCAGAGAAAGAGGTCCTAATAATAGCCTTCTCAACTACCGGATTAATGGATTTATTAAGATCAAGATACAAGATTGCAGCACTTGTGCAGATGCATTGAGGGTAGCTGCATGCATTTTCTTCCTCAAGGAGAAAAAATTAAATAAAAAAAAAATAACAGAAAGAAAAAGGCAGAAGATTGCATGAAGTGCACTTACTTCCGGATATATGCATGCTAAATTTAGCACAGGATAATGAATGAAAAAAAGAAAATTTCATCTGCTAAAGCGACTATATACTCAATCTTCATTCGTGTTTACGTGCTTGCATATGCATGATAGATTGTATAGAGATAGCCAAACCTGCTAATGCATCGAGCAGAGTGGATTTTCCGGAGCCAGATGGACCCATGATAGCCATGATTCTACCAGGTTCAGCACAACCGGTTAGTCCATTGAGCAATCTCCTGGTAGGTCCATTGCCAAAGTTTGGCAGCAGCACCGTCAAATCTTCCCACACCAAGTACATATTTCCTTCATCTCTGCCTCTTGGCAAGCCTTCCTGATGAGGTTGTGCATCGCCAGCACGGCCATTCACCTCCTCTATCTCCACCTCAGCCATAAAATATCTCTCAGGAGGGAATAAGCAAAGAAACAATGCAGAACATAGAGGTGAGGAACGAAGAAGCAAAAATTAATTTCGCTTTTCCGTTTTTCTGTACTTTTGAGTGAATCAGTGTCAGAAACAGATAGTTGGCACTGATGAGCGAATTAGTTCGGAAAGTAAGAAAAGAGAGGAGAGATTACTGAATACAAAGAATAAAGGGTTTGCTTGCTACCACATGGTTGATCAGTAAGCGAAGTGAATGGCATCAGCACTATGTTTACCAAAACCTGCACCAATGTATGCTCTTAAATAGAGATGTGGCAAAGGAAGATGACAGTTAGTCAAAAAGAATTAAGTAATAGAAGTAAATATTAATTTGAAGACTGAATATCTTTCTGTAATTGTCCTTTTTTTTTTCAAAAAAAAAAAAAAAAACCTCAGACAACTATGAAGATATAATTGCACACTTTTTTTTTTTTTTTAGTTTAATTAGTAGCATTTGAAATACTGCTGGTGAAATAAATTTTCACCACAACAATCGAATATTAATTCTTGCAGTTATGACCAACTCCTACAGCCAACTAAACCCCTAGCATCTTAAAGCACTGTTGTCTGCATCTGCTTGTCTGCCTGCAACAACCGCTTCAACTTTGCGTTCTTGGATTATTTTCTTGCGAGGAGAAGAACATGATCAATTGGGGAATCAATTAATGCTTTGGTTTACATTTTCCAGTGTTCAGAGCACACCATAGCAGGTGCTGGTGCCTCATAAACCAAAGAAATATCAAAAAGCTTTTATGAAGACTACCCAAAGCTTCAATACGTGAAAGAAATTGATTGGAGGCACTAATGCTAGGAAATTAAGTAGGAAGCCACCCTCACTTTCCTCTTTCATTTAAGCACTCGGAAATTTGGCAGAGACAAGTGTAGCAATATTTGGTTTTACTAACAATTCCCTCAGGGCATTTTGTTAAGCTAAATCAAGAGTCCAACCTGGATTTCAAGTAACCACTACACCATCAAACCACTTGTTTTGTTAAGTAATATTGATAATAACTTAGATATTGTCATGTGCCTTACACGCAATATTTGTTTTTTTTTATTTTAAATAATAATTATATATAAAACATAAAGTTAATTATTTATTAATAAAAAGATAATTATAATTGAAAGATAATTATTTATAACATTTTAATTATATATAATTGAAATTTTGTAATATTGATCTATAAATTATAATTCAATACTATTAGAACTAAGAAGGTATAATGCCCAAAAATGTTCCTAAACTATTTTAAAAAATACAAATTAGTTTTTATTCTTTTATTACGTTTAATCAAACTATTATATTTTTGTTTTGAGTCAAATTAACTCTTATGATTAATAGTTGATTTAGTCAAAATGGTCCTTATTATTCTATACCACGTAATGCAAATGTGACATGTTGGAATGCTATAATTGATGATAATATGACATGTTAATATAGTATGACTGCATAATTATGTGGTATTTTTCATCCTTCACATCAATGATACATCAGTGCCATGTAAGCATAACATGACAAGTGATATTTTAATTAATGAAAATTTATTAACTATTAGTCATAAACTAATACTTATAAGGGCTTATTTGACTCAAAATAAAAATATAAAGACTTGATTAAATATAATAAAAAAAAATTAGTTGAATTTTCTTAACTAGTTCAAAAGTTTTTTCAAGTATTACGCCAAGTAAGAAAAATAATTATTAATTAGAGTCATTCACTACTTTTAGAATTCTTATGTACAAATTAGATAAATCTTGTTATTATTTATAATAAAAAATATTTTTGATGAAAGTTTTTTGATACAATTAAATTTTATATATTTAAAAATTAGATAAATCTTATAAATATTGATAATAAAAATACTTATACTTGATAATTTAACACAATCTATTAACACAATATGAGAACGACATGAAGTTAAGCGAGTTTGGATTAGGGTTACCGTGTTTCATGTTTAAGATACAATAGTTTCGTATCTTACATATGTTAAACATATTTATGTTGCATTTAACACGTTTAATCTAATTAATAATCACGTTATCGTGTCAATTCTTATAATATGACTTGTTTAATCTATTTATGATCCCCAATTAAACAAGTTAATCATATTAATTCTATTTAAATGAGTTTATTGCATCATAATTATGTTGTGTCATATGAAATTTATATTAGACTTATTTACTAAACATTTTAATTGTATCATGTCATGTAACATGTGTAAATAACATTGTTGTAAATATGTTTAGAATCATGATCTGTTTAATTAATCATATTATATTCATGTTTATTTATATAGCCATCAAAACATTGCCTAAACACAAAAAGAATTGTCAAATCTAAAAATATATAAAATGATAATTTTAAAATATAATGAACAGATATGACTGTTGTCATCAATTAAAATAAATTTCGATATTCATACTTATATATATATATATTATAAATTATAAAATATTGTAAAATATATTCTATATGAATTTCTTATAGTATGAATTTTGCCCACATAACACAGCTTGAAGATTTTTTTATTTTTCTAAGCAAAATCTTGTGCTTTTCTATTGTTCTCAGGGGTGTAACCATGTGAATTTATTGAGGAAGGGTAAAAAATGTTTTACAAAATCCCCGAGCAGATTCCAAAACCTTGTTCACACATTGGAGTTAGGAAAACAGATAAAAAATAGTGGTTTTTTTTTTGAAACGTAAAAGGTTGATAACAAGGAGATAATAACTTATGTGATATTCGCAGGAGTTAAGATTACTAAAACAACAAAAAGTCACACAGCCTTTAAGATGCCCAATAGGATGAAATGCAGACTACAGCCTTAGACCACCTGCCCCGCTAGAGGTCCCATTCAAGTTCATTACTCATGAAATTTTATTTTATTTTGTGGTGGTTGTCTTAATTTTGAGAAAGAAGTGTCAATGCTACATCCACTTCCCATTCACACATGACATGCTGACTTACATTTAATGACTATTACTGTGTTGTCTGATACAAGTCTCCTCCAATTCCTTCTCCCCACCTAATTTTGTTCTTGTTATGGTAAACAATAAAGAACAATTTTTATTTTGGTACTACTCCACTGTAAACAATTATAACCCATTTAAAGAAATATGGAAACGTCTGTTGGCTTCCTACAACTGTAATCCAATGATTTCTGAATTTTCCTACAACTATAATCTTTTTTTTTTTTTGAAAAGCGAATAATTTCATCCAAAGAAGAAACCTCAATACATAAAACTACCCAATAGGCAGTTAACCGGGATCAGACCACTTAGCCATGCACATCAGAAATGCCAGAAGCCAACCTCAACACAAAAAGGTCATTACAAATCCAGACGAGACACAAGACAGACTCACAATCCAGAGTCCAAAAAATCGATTTTAATAAAAATCCTCGCAAACTTAATTCAAAAAATCTTTAGTTCCATAAAATTGTTTATCCAAGTAACCTATATTTGCTTAAACTTTTTAGAGAAGAAAAAATGATCCAAAAAGAGGCCAAGTGCAGACACTTGTGGCACAGCAGTATTCCATAGACTAATTTGTCAGATATTGCTTGATTGACATAACGAATATGCGTACCAAGATTAAGCCTACTATAGCATGTGATTTACCAAGAATTATTCACATGCTCAAAGTCATTACCAAGACCATCGATACCTCAACAAATTGATGAGAGGGTGCAATGCGAGGCCGCCCTCTGTACTCCTGGCTTTTATTGAAGCACTCAGAAATTTGGCACGAAAAAACACATAATGTAGCACCATGCATTATTTATGCCATATACATTAAGATTGGTTTTCAGGCATTTGTGAAAGATGTCTCAAATTAAGGAACAATCTTTCCCATCACTCAGCCTTTCAAAGGCTCAAAGTTCCTTAATTAATTAAGACATAGTTAAGATTTGGAGAGAGATAGCAATCGTTAGATTCTAGCCTTGGATTGTTATTGTTACCCGCACCTGACTTGTTTTACACAACCTTAGGATGACTTGTCCAATTTATTAAATAGCTAGGAAACATATGAATCATCACATTGTGGCCAATTATCAGTGCTCAGCTGAAAATGGGACTTCATTTTCAACCAATTCATTACCCAACTAATCCAACGTCTTTGACAATTTGATCCATATGAAAATATAACATCGGTTACACGTGAGTAAATTAGAATTACTAGAAGACTCCCTTGATTTTATTCTGGCATCTATAGCCATTTAATTGTTAATATGTATTACCTAAATTTTTATTTAATTTTTTTATAATATCAAGTCATGGTTGAGTAGTAATTAATTACTTTCACCAAACTCCCCATTAAAACAATCATGTGATGTTCTGCGCAAGGAGGAATTGAGAGTGAAGATTGACAATGAAAGCTGTTTCTCTTATGTTTTCTCTCTTACATAGTTATGTTCTTATCTTAACTATATGCTTATGACAGAGATATCTGTAATAAGTATGAAGTTTGAATAGAAACTTTAGAAGAATAAAAAAAAAGAATTTAATTTCCTCGGGATTCTTTTAAAGAAAGTGTTAGGGATTACAAACATCTGTAAGAAGAAAATGACAATAATATTAAAAAGGGAACGAGGAAGAGGACAAATCGTTCTCTATTTACTTTACTTTCCATGTGCAATGATATGAGGGACAGTTATTGTATTCCTTTCTCCCATTCCTTTCACCCCTGTCGTTCACTCCCCTCTCATGCCAAATTCCATGCATGTTAATAACTTTAATTGCCTATTTATTTGAAAATTGCAAAAAAAAAAAAAACTTAATTAAAAAATTAAAATAAGCTTTAAATATTGCTCCAGTAACTAATTTTGTTACATTATTTTAAGAAAAGTTATCAGTATTTTCTAATTAAAGTCTAATTATGCCATCTCTATACTCTTGCATAATTAACTTGATTTTCAAAATTTTCTTTCCATTCAAAGAATAAAATATTTTTTTAATACTCTTGATATTTTGATAAGGGACAATTGAAAATTACAATTTCCTATTTTGAAATGGGAGGTGCACTCGAATATTTCATTCAATATTAAATTACTTGTATCTCATGTTCATAAAGTTTAATTGAAAATCTTCTTTGTGAAGATGTAAATTGAAAGGTATGTACCTAGTTTTCTTTTTCAAGATTTGAACATATATAAGACTTATAAGTTAAATCTTGAGTTCTAACTATCATGACATCCTGTTGAAGAGACGTAACAAGTTTTAAGTTACACGTTGCCCTCTTAACTCAATTAGCAAAATGCATAAAGTTGTATGCATATAATATACCTAGGTTTAATTCCTTCTAATGTCTAATCACATATCACATTATAAATTT